GCGTTGTTTTTAATCAGCCTCTCTGCGTGGCCCCATCATCAATGTGTAGCACAAGAAGCAAGCCATTTTACGCACTTCAGCACAACAACAATGCGTTTAGCATTTAGCTTTTAGCATTATAAGGGCAAGCATCATATCATTTTAACATGCATGTCATGCAAACAAACACACTCACACACACACACACACACACACACACACACACACAGCAACTCATATAATTGAAACGTATTGTGTGCTTTGCGCTTCCGCGCTTTCATTCAACAAATTTAATCGAATTCGCTTTAAAGCTATTTTAATGATTTTAGTTTTATTTGTTGTCTTTTTCTTTGTCTTTCTCTTTGTCTTTCTCTTGTTCTTTTTTGTAGTTGTATAGTTGTATAGTTACTGCTACGGACGCTGATACCAGTGTCAATTCTGTCAGTGGTAATGTTTATAATTAAGATAATCATAATTGTGATATTATTTAAATACATATAATTATTTGATGTACATACGTATTACACATACAAATGTACATACCTATGCATGTGTTATTACATTGTTTACGGGCTTAATAACATTTAAGTATTGTCAGGGATTTGGTGTGTGTGGACTGCTAATAACAAGCCTAAAGAAATGAAATCAGTGCAGCAGGCAAGGTGGCAATCGAACGCGAGTTTGTGGCTTGAGTCTTTTAATTGTTGTAGGGCTGGTTGTAAGGTGGAGAACATATTGCGCAAATATGGCGAAGGGATAAATAATTAAAATACAGTCAAACTTCCACAACTCAAACTTCTATAACTCAAATTTTCTACTAATCAAACTAAATAGAGTGCAACAGGGTTACAGAGCGAAGTACATACAATTGCTCTACGACCTTTCCCAGACGTCTCCATACCCATTACCCTCCCTGATGACCTTGAAGACCGCAATCCCCACATCATTCCCCTCTATAACCGCAACTTTCGTAACCCTGGTCACAATGTTTATCGTTAATCTCACTCCTGCTTACTAGCCATAACCCCAACCCCATCAGTATCACCCATTCTCCCTAATTCTAATCCATGCTTTCTGGCTAAGATAAACCTAGTCCACTAGGTATTAAGCCTATATGTTCATATTTATTTATTTTTTATGATAAGGCGTTAATAAATTAATCTAAACTTTCGACAGATGGCTAAAATATTATAGCCGTCATAGCATAAAATGAAAGCTTTATATATATAATATACTTGTTATAAATTTCTGTGTAATATAACAAATTTAAAATGAAGAAAAACAAAGTTAATAATACTAAAAAAAATACATTAACTAAATTCTCGGTATGGACCAAGAGAATTATGTTGCCGTTCTGTGTCTAAAATAATATGAATTCTTCACACACTACGAATACATGAAAAAGTAAAAAATAATATCATTATGTTTCATTTTACTTTTTACGGCTACCATTAAATACAATTTCACTTAATTACTAGATGGATTACCAATAAAATATTATCTCTTTACGGTACAATAACCTAAGTGTATTGTAGTCGGCTGGAAACTTATTGAAGACTTCTGAAATGCAGAAGGCCAATATGTTACATGTAAGTAAAAAGAGACAGTGGCAGAATCGACTTTTGCTATATTCTATTTGGTGATATTTTGGTGGCATTATACTATGTATTTTCTAGTTCTTTATATTTCGATCGGAATAATGTTGTTGCTTCAGCTCTTTGTTACATAGACGCCTTTAAACAGTATTTCTGAACCAAGATCATTTATGCCTCACTATTTTAAAATATTCTTATGATTAATTCATAAAGCACAATCAATCTATTTTGGTTATCTTCTAGGGACAACATATTTTCTAACTATCAGGTTTTTCTGAGCTTTTTTCATCTCTCCCAGTCTTTGCTTGTATAAATGAATATCGTCACAGTATTTAGCAAGTCGGAGCTAAATCGGAACTTTATACAGATTTGACTAGAGTGCTACGTTTTTAAGTGCTAACTAAATACTGTGCTCGCTTTGTTTTAATGGGTTTAGACACCCTTGTGACTGATTCACTATTATTTGTTACAATGAGTCGAATTCACACCACTTATGTTATGATATTAATAATAATTGTACTAAGAACAATCTTACAGGAAAAAAACTTTTCACTATCATATCGGGGGATTAGACAAGCTAATCGATTAGGCACTTCATTCAATTACTACTGCCGTAGCTGTCAGAGGATATAATTAACTTAACTACTTGGCACAAGGTTTTTATATTTTATAGGTTCGTTTCCTCAAAGTATCTCTCCGATAAAATGTTGCACATTAAATAGTACCCTCTTTACAAAAGTGTTTGATTTTCGATTCAAAATAGTGCGGCAATTTATTCTAAGTTTCCAGAAATCAGTATCTTATCTACCAATCAGGTTTTATGGTGTTCTTCAAATTATTGTGTGACAAAAGCTTTAAATTGATTGCACAGATTTGGGAAAAGTTTGAAATCTTATAGATTGATTGGAAATATAGATTGATATATAGATTGATGGGAAGAATAAATACAACACGTGTCTTGCCTTTTACTGGCTATGCGGGTGGTTGCTCGCTGCTACATTTACAAAACTTGTTCGCTCGATTAACAAATGAAAGAAACGTGTTGATGATTTTTAATATTTATATTTATTTTATTCTTTTAGTATTGCGAGGATTCGTCAACAGTCGTTCCGACCGATTTATTCTTTTTCTAGACATTTTGGAGATAAGAAAGTTTACAGGTACAACAGGTTATCGGCCTATCGCTCCGTAGCTTGATGATGGGGCTGCCACCTGACTCTACAGGCTGACTAAATTATCTAAATAGATAGACAATTTTATTGTGGTGTAAAGCACGCCGTTACGGAAGTTATTTACAGACAAAATCCTTCACCTTCGGCATTCACATTTTCGGGTGAAGAGCTTCTGCCGGCTCTGTCTCGGCTCGCCGTCGATAATCAGTGGTAACAGCCCCGCTACGAGAATGCTTATCGACCGACTTGTCGAGGAAAAGCTAGGTGATAGTATATTACGCTATCCAAATTTTACTTCAGGAAACACTCAACCGTTCGTGAGCGTCGTGAGACACACCTTAGCAGATCATACATCAATATTGTTGAGCTCAGAGAAGTGGCAGTAAGAAGGCAAATATGAAGGCAGTTTGTAGATAGCCTTTGCCTAATGTAGCAGCTTGGAATCATGTGACGCCAAGCAACGCTTAATAATAATGATAATATATTTATTTTATTATCTTATTTTAATAAAATAAATATTAACTAGTAAAAAAAATACATATTTATATAAATAGTAAATAAATAAATATTTACTGCAATATATTTCATAGTTATTATATATTTATGTACAAATTATTCTTGCTCTTTTAGCATCTACCGTAATACTCTTATCAATACTCCTAGCAAAAATATCTCTGTTTTGTTTGATACTTCTATTATATAAAAGGCGATGATATTATTAATATCACAAACTTTATTTATAAAACGTGCTGATATTTTTATTCGACTATTTTTCTAATATTATTTTTTAATTAATATTTTATATATGCTAACTCTCTTTTTGTACCTGCACAAAAAAAGTACTGTCGTCTATTGTTTTCTTAAATATTTTTTATAAACATATTATAAATATGTAAACGAATAAAGAGGTTTTTCGAACAGTAGCAAACTACTACAACAAAAATTCATTTTTTTTTATATTATTTTAATTAATTGAATTTTTGTCTCTACCCAAATACCCATCATCAGTAGTCTTGGAAATAACTCTTGTATTTAATTACCTGAAAATATTTTTTTTTTATTTTTTTGAGAATGCAAATATCAGGAATCGAACTCATGCCCTGCCAGATTTGAAGCTCAGAGTCAGCGCTCCTTTTATGTTCATACTTTTTTCTGGTGTTTAGTTACTTTGTTGTGAAAGTTTTATTAACAAATTTATTTGCAGTGTTTATATTAGAACGAAATCATAAAACAGCTCTAGAATAATTGAGTTCAATACTGTTCTGTTTGTAGAGACATTATTTGTTCCATGGTTTATATATTATTTCTTATGTATAGAACCTAATCTAGGAACGTAATACTGAGAAAGTCATGCTAATATAAACTAAATTCAAAAAAAAAAAAAAATAAAAACAAAAATTTGAAATAATTTATGATTTTAATTATTAAAAATATTACTTTATTTTTATATCCATTTCATATTTATTTTTATATTTTAAATATATGTCATTTTGATTTTTTTTCTTTTGTTAAAGTTAAATTGCTTCAACATGATTTTAGTTTTAATTTAATTTAATTAATTTAATTTTTATTTTTTCATCTTTAATTATTCCCATTTTAGCTTTAACTTTTGTTTACTTTTTTATATTTTTTCCCACTTTTCAACTTATATTTAAGTTCATTTATTATATATAAATGTATTTATGAACTTTTTTATGTTTGTTTCTAATATTGTTTTCAATTATCATTTTTCATTTTTCTAACTATATGTTTTTTATTTTATGTAATATATTATTTTTTTCATTTTAATTTCTTTGTTTGTATTATTATTTTTTTTTTGTCTTGCATTAATTTATTATTATTTATATATTTTCATATTAATCCTAATATATTACTATAAAAAATGTTTATTATTTAAAACATGTATTTAAGTAATTTAATTTTTTGTTAATAAGTTTTACAAAATATTGTAAATTTCAACATAAATTATTTTTTTCAACTATTTTAAATATAAAATAGTTTTAAATTTATTTTTTCTTTTTTAACAAAAATTTTTTAGTTCAACAGTAAATAAGATTGTAAATACAATTTTTCAAACAAACTAAGATTTATTTTAATATACTCAACAATTTTATTTTTTATAATATTAAATTAAAAGAAACTACTAATATATTTATTTTGCACTGGTGTATCTTGTAATAATATTACCATAATAATTTTGATAAAAATTTATGCATAAACGAAAGAATTAAATCAATTGTAATTAAAATTATATGTTTCCTACGAAATTCAAAAAAAATGTTAATTTTTAAAATAAAATTTTTTGAATTATCAAGATGTCATTAGCGTCTAGTATTACTAGAGCCGGCAATAATTAAGGGCAAGCACTACTAGTAGGGGTGAAGGTGCGCGATATTAGCTAAGCACATCGCCATGTCCATTTTGACGTAGCATTTCCAACTTAAGTTCATGTTCACGTGCCTTCAGTCGCAAGGCAGCGATTGATGAAGTGCGACGATCTTCTGGCGGCGTTACCGGACGATTTGCTGCAACTGTTGTCGTTTGATGGCGTTGCTGCTGTTGTGGTTGTTGTTGAGTTGGTGAAGGCGCAAGTGTGACTACCTGACCGCCTTGTGTACCTTGTGTCGTGGATTGTGATGGAGCTGTTGGTGACACAACCTGATGTGACATTGGTATGGTTACAAGCTGTTGCTGCTGTTGCTGTTGTTGCGATAGCGCTGTTGGTTGGGATTGTGACGTTTGCTGCTGCTGAACGCTAGCTGATTGAGATGCTACCGATGACGGTGAAGTTGGTGGTGAAGCAATCACATGATTTGGCGAATGAATATCCGGCGAGCCAATCAGCATTGGTGGTTTAGTTATCATTGTTGTTGGTGGCTGACGTGGCACAGCGCCAATATTTGCTAAAAGTGATTGAAAGGAAGTTGATGGTGAATACATGGTAGGCATGCCGGGGGCCAGCAAATGCGGCGGAGCTCTGTAAAAATCAGTTCTTCATTTTATTTATTAACTGAATCAGTATTGCGGCATTAATACTATATGTAAAAAAAGTGTAGTTGATAATGATACTTTCTTATCATACCAATAAGAAATTGTTTTATAAGATTACGTATAAAAATTTTTTATATATTTTTTCTATAGTTTTGAAAGCTTATTCTGCAGAATCTCACCTTTGAAATTGATTGAAGTATCCCGTTGGCAATATTGGTGCACCTGATAAATGTGGGTAACGAAAGGCCGCCAAATTCGCCGGCGAATCGAACGGCTTTCGTAAATTAAAGCCTAAATGCGTAAACGGATTCGGCGGCAACGTTGAGCCGACCACTGTTTGTATAGCACCCGGTCCACTTGGTAAATATGGATTGTACGGATGTGACTGCGGACCGACTTTCTCCTGCTTGCGCCACTTGGCTCGTCTATTTTGAAACCAGACCTACGAGTACAACAACAACAATAACAACAAAATGAGCAACAACATTAAAGCAAGAAGAAAAATATGTTGCATATGTTTTTACAAAGCAAAATAAAAACCTAACGTGTTTAAAACACAAGAAACAAGAAAGTTATTGTAAATTTCTACAATTTTTAATTGATTGGAATTTAAAGTTTATTTAAAAAATTAAAATGCAATACTGGAAATAAGACGCCCACTTCCGCTTCCATATTTATGCATTGAATGGAATTTCTTTGCTCTCTACTTCACACTTGTATTTACTTAACTTTGTGCTTTAAGCAGTTTGAGGAGCAAACCAAATTGCAAAACAACTTAACAGATATCGCTAACTTAACAAAAAAAACAAAAAAACCAAACGGACGGACTTGCAAGTAAAAGATAACAGGCATCAATAGATACAAGCAGACAGACTAATTTATACTGGTGGAAGGTATTACGGTAGGCGTTGTCGCAATAAGAAGCTATTGCACGTATCTTGTTACAAGCGTTACAGAGACGCAATCAATTGCTCTTTCATGTGCAGCAATAACACACAATATCAACAACTGCAACAGCAGCATCAACTGCAACAGCAGCAACAACAATAATAAGAACCACAACACCATTATCATCATCAACAATACCGAAAAAAAAAAACATTACGAGCGAGCAATAGTAACTCTAAGATTTTTAATTAATTCAACATATTTTCGTACATTTATTAAGGCTCCCATTTATGTCGTGGAAAGTGTTCGACAGTTTGGTAAATGCGGCAGCCTAATGCAAACAAGAGGGCGTTTTGCAGAATTCACGCCCTCTTAATTAGTTTTGAACGAAACAATCTATGCCAGGTACACAAAATATATTATTAAAAATTCATATAAAAGAGTGTAAAGCGTTAAGGATGCTTCTGTGGCGCAGCTTCTGTCTGCATCAAGCTGTGCTGCGAGGCCACAAATACTATGGGCTTCTGCGATGTTACTGTGTGGTATTTTCATCTCAGACTACCAACGACTTATGTCAGTGGGAGGTTACTTTACTATTTTTAATTACATTGTATATTTGTGGATTTGATAAGGCGATATGTTTAGATTGAAATTTGATATTTGCATAGTCGAAGTCTGTGGAAACTTTACACTTTAAGGAGAGTTATACTCTGCACTCTCACAAGCATCTTCACAGTTACGTCACAGTGCACAGGAAAACATTTTTACTATTATATTCTATTATAAAAAGAAGTGTTTATTATAAAAAAAACGCCTTTTATATAGAGAAGATTATTTTATTTTAATAACCCATGTAAATAAAGTAAGCGACCATTGTTATAACTACAAAGGTTTCATAGGATTTTAAAACTAAAATAAAATTCTAGTCTTCATAAAACATTTTCTACGTAAATCTCCAACAAAAACTATAAAGGCAAAAACCCATTGACGATGTGCATCCCAATATTTTTAATTCAAAGTTGCTGCAATTAGACATTTTAGGATCCAACGATCAGCGTCAAGCTAGCGTTATACTACTGTCAATTGTGAGTTCCCCCTGCAGTGAAGGGGGAATTCAGAATATTCGAATATTCCCGAGGTAAGGCATGCCTACCGTAAGAGACAACTAAAATCCCGGTGTCACGCTGACACTTGTGCAAAAAGTGTGCATGGTAGTAAGTGACACTCGATTAGAGCTGCAAATCTGTTACCACGTGGGTCAGCGCCCGCAGCTTCGACTGTGTTGAACAGTAGAGGTCGGACTGGTAGTGCCTGTGGTTAATACCCAAACTTACGTGGGAAGAATGATCAAGTATTTGTTTATCATTTATTCGGGGTAGAGTTGCGAATTCACCACTGGGTGCTGTGATCCAAAGATCAGCAGAGATAGAGGCACCAAACCAAAGTGGAACTTGCGGTTTGCACACATTTCTTCATTGGTACCGACGGAAATTTCTTTTCAATTTCTAATGGGGCGTTGTTACTAAATATTGGTTAAGGATTTTTGATACACTAAATCAGAATATAACATAGAAATAAGAATTGAGATGACAAAAAATGAAAAATTTAGATTTCAATATTATATTATATAAAATATAATATTGATGAGATAAAAATAAAGGGAAACGTAAGAATTAATTGAAGTAATCTGGCGTTTACACACTTTTTACATACTAACCTAACTCAATTCATTTTAAAATTTAATGATTAAGTAAAAACCTTGCTTCAGCATGTAGCCAGTTTGTCTTTATAGATAGAAATTGAAACACACAGTATTGAAATCATAATTTATAAGTTATACATGTATACATTAAGCAGTATATGCTAGCAGTATGCTAATGGTATATTTAAATTACTGTAATAAATATTACGACTCGGCCATACATGATTACTCTTCAACGTCCATGAAGTCCATAACGTGCATATGTCAATATCAATTAATTATACAATTTTTTAATTATATAAATTCAAGAGATAAATAGTTTTGTAGTCTAAGCAATGAAAAGCATCGTATTGGCAGAGTTCTAATTCAATATTTACTGAAATACATTGTATCATGTAAAAATCAATCGAAAAAAAATATAATTTTTATCAATCTATATAATATTGAAATGTTATGCACATCGTTCCAAAGTGTTTAACCACTAGATATTAACACAAGACTTGACGAAAAAACACTGGAGAGTCTTACCGGTTTGTACATAAGATATAAGATAAGATTCAATATCTACAGAACAGACTTCGCACAACATGCATACCGTAAAGGTAGTTGAGTAGAAATCGCCCTGCATGAAGTCATTGTCATTATTGAAAAGTTAATGGATATAAAAGACTATATCATGAGAAGTTTTGTTAAAACTGTTAAGGGAATTCGTGTTAGGGTTTCATAATAGCATAGATTAGCACATTACTTAAAAGTATAATTATCAACGCTGCTATGGGATTAGTTTCTGTGATCAAGAAAACTACAACTGGTAAATTATAGGGAGGGTTACTGTCGTTTCTTCTTCAGCTCTTAATGGTTATTAAAACTTTAAAGATCTTCCTTGAGAAAATAAAAAACAAATTTTATTGCTTACGTTGATGATTATTTTAGCTTTTTTAATCTCAATCAAATACCGCGCAACAATTAGTGAGCTAATGCAATCGACACTTGGCAAAATTTCCAGATGGGATAAGACGAATAAACCCTACACAGCTCATTCTGTTTATACGGAAACTAAAATACCTACGTTCACCTTGTTTGAGCTAGAAGTGGTCTTGAATTTTTCATTGAAAGACAGAGGTCTTAGTATTATTCCTAATTTCAAACTAAACGGATAGAGGCACATTAAGAAAAATGCTTAGGACTAGTTGTCTATTATGTCTGCAAAAACTACTTTGAGAAACGATTAGAAAACAGTATCTATTACCTGTGGATCACTCACCTGGTAGCAGGCGTAACATAAACCTTAGGAGAAATCTATTATCGAGAAAGTACAAATATGACCCACTTGGTTATAAATGGAGTAATCACTAATGAGCATCAAGAGTGCCTAAACATGTTGGCTGGGACAATGAAAGTGAAAGACTACGCCAATGGTAGGGGAAAAAAGAAGTCAACTATGCACAATAAACAAATTCGGATGATGTTTAGCGAAGACTGCTCTGGAATGAGCTACAGGCTATATGATATCAACAAAAACTTGGAAGCTAATATTTACACCCCCCTATCCTTACAGAGAAAGCTGAAAATCTGAATATAGTATGATATATACGTGGAGTTATTATCAACAAAGATGATATTTAACGAAGACTATTCTGGAATGAGCTACAGACTATACGACATCAACAAAAACTTGGAAGCTAATATTTTCACGTCTCTACCCTTACAGAGAAAGGTAAAAATCTGAATATAGTATGATATATTCGTGGGGTTATCATCAACAAAGATGGTTCAAAGATTTAAGGTTAATGAAGGAAAAATTTGTATTCGTGTGGTATTTGCTTTACCTTGTTTGCATCGCATTCTCGATTTATCTTTAGTTTTACTATTTTCTGCTTCAAAGTTTGGTCTTTTTTCAGTCAGCTATCAGCATTTTTAGTTTTGATTTTTTTATTAATTTGTCTTTTTTTAATGTTATCTACTTTTACTTAAAATCGCTATAGTCAAAAAATCAAGTTCTGGCCGTCGGCGTCGGTTTTCTAAAATATTAGAATTTATTTAAATGAAAATAATTCCGTATCCTACTTGATCACGTTAATTTGTATCTCATATTCTTAAAACAATCCATGACAAGCAACAAGATATGGAAAAGCAATAAAACTACTTCAGTCACGAATCATTTATGGTGCAAATTCATTTCTTCGTGTGTTACGGGTTCATAGAGATAAAATAAAATTTGGTCGTGTTGAAGCTTTTGTATTTAAAAATCTATCTGAAACGGTACTTTTCATGAAATTACACTTTTTTCCAATAACTAGGAAGTTGTTGTTGTATTTCAATATTCCCCAAATAATTCTTGAACAAGAACACTGAATAGTAAACAAAATCTGATCTGAAATTGACAAGAAAATGCTTGAATGTTATACAGCAGGATATTACTGGGATAATAAACTAGGATTAATACAATCCAAATCACTTATTGGTGCCTATAACAATAAGAGATACTAGGATTGTATGAACCTATCAGAAGAAAATCTTAGAATCATCATAGAAATCCTAACAGAGCACTGTAAACTAAAATACCACCTTACGAGACTGGATATACATATGAATGAAAACTGTAGATTCTGTGAAGAACATGAGGAGTCGAAAATGAGAAGCCACACATGAGCTGTTAGAATGCTCTGTGGTAATACACATACGGAATAGGCTCTTGGGAATGTATATTCTCACGGAAGAGGCAATAAAACACTCTAAAGTAAGTTCTATACTTGTTTTCATTGACGCAACAGGGCTTAGAGACCTACTCTAAACCAAGAAGGGGGCACAATAGACCCGACGGTCGCAGTGCCACATCCCCCTATACATATATATAACTAAAACTGTCTACATGTATTTCTTCCTATAACCCATTTCTTTAATAGTAACATGTTTTTTAGTTGCATTCGAAGTTTTCCGAATACCATAACAATTTTGTAAGTTAGTATAAATAACTAACTTTAACTTCTAATTTCTATGTATTTGTTTAAAATTGAATGAGTTTTTTTGTTTTTTCCGATATTTTTCGTCACAATTTATCTTTTAAATTAAATTAAATTGACTAAAACCAGATTAGGGAAATGGATAATTTATTTCGATATTTACCTGTATGCGAGCCTCTGTCAGACCAATTTTCATAGCAAGTTCCTCTCTGAAAGTTGAAAATTAATTAAAATTAAAATACTACATGATACAAAAAATGAATATTAATTATTAAAATATAAGAGAATATTAATTAAAATCGAAACCTGTCATGAACTTACGCTTAATGTCAAGAGCTTTAATGAATTGGTTTGTAATTAATTAATTAATATTCAATAAAACAAACGTAATACGTGTACACGTTCAGACTGCTTTGTTAATTAATGGCTAATTGTTGCAAATTAAAAAAACAAAGTACAAAATATTGCACATTAAAAAAAATAAAAAGGTTTATTCACAATCACGAGTAAAAGTTCAATCATTGGGTAAATATTTTTATAGAGTAATTGAAGTCAATATATAAAATTTTATGTAATTACATAAATTATCCACATGATAATAGAGATCTCCTCTAGCAATTCAAGAAAACATTTACATAATGTTGCAAAATTTTTACATAAAATTCTATTAGCCCCCATATGAACACGATATTTATTGCGATTTCGGTGGACATGGAAGTTCTGCATCGTCAAAGCTAAATAGATTTCTCACTTTAATTTTTCCTTTTAGATTTACACAAAAATAATATGTGTAATTCCTATTAATCGTCGGTAAGTACTACTATGTACTTGCAAATTGCATTTAATAGCGCTACATACAAACGCATTCTCCTCGGAGACTGACACCTTGCTGCCCTTCATCTCATTACTATCTTATCTGGAACATAATTTAACTACTGAGATCATAATAATCAACGATGAGTAACTTACAGTCATTCAACGATTGTAACCTATGTACATACACGTCTGATCAATCCGATGAAATTACAGTCTTCAAGTTGTACCTGTACATACACGCGAATCCAGCTGCTTCGGCAGTACGCACAACGGATTTGGAGAATCCGTTATTTGGATTTTGTTAGGTACAGCTGTAATCACATGGCCCAATGTTCCCCTAGGAACACAATGAAATGTAGAAGAAGACATACTGACGCATATTGACAAGAATATTTAATATTCGTAGTGTATAAATTCAGAGAATTGTTAGAAGCTAGATTGCATATGGGAAATGGTGTATTACAAAAACGAATGGACGTGGTGCTAGGTTCATATTCAAATTTTAGATTGAAAAAATTATTCAAATTGATTATAAATATTTGATTATGTTAAATAATCAATATCAAATTTAATTATTTAAAAAATTTTTATTAATAATTTTTTTATTGCTTTTATTTTATATATTTTATATAAATTTTTATAAAAAGCACTTTTAAAAAAATTTTGAACTTAAGAATTATTTAAATGCGGGACAGATGCGGTCCGCGGCTAATGTTTATGCGGTCCGCGACATTATTTTAATCTACTATAATTGCGCAAATTTTCTATTGGTGTACTGGTAAAATTACATTATTTTATTTTTATGGTATACGAAATAGATGAATTTAAATTGATAAATTAATATAACTAAATTTAACATTATAATCGTATTTTTAATGTTATAATGTATTTATAATCACAACAATAAATGTATGAATTTGTTGCTGCGGCCCTTCAATCTGTACAGTAATTTGTATTGCCCCGCAATCGTATCTGGACAGCTGGACAGCCCTGTTGTAATGTGTTACTCGATGTGAGTTTTGTTGTAACCGCATTTACTACTTGGTCTACGCTACTTGGTCTACGCTACTTGGTCTACGCTACTTGGTCTACGCTACTTGGTCTACGCTACATGGTCTACGCTACTTGGTCTACGTTACTTGGTCTACGCTACTTGGTCTACGCTACATGGTCTACGCTACTTGGTCTACGCTACTTGGTCTACGCTACTTGGTCTACGCTACTTGGTCTACGCTACTTGGTCTACGCTACTTGATCTACGCTACTTGGTCTACGCTACTTGGTCTACGTTACTTGGTCTACGTTATTTGGTCTACGCTTCGTGGTCTACGCTACTTGGTCTACGCTACTTAGTCTACGCTACTTGGTCTACGCTGCTTGGTCTACGCTACTTGGTCTTCGCTACTTGGTCTACAAGCTCGTTATTTGTTATAGTGAAATGTTGTTTGGTTTTAGTGGTGTCAGAACTTTCTTTTCTGTCTAGATATAATATCGGGTGTCCTTAAAGTTTAAGCTTTAAAACCAAGCTGCATATTTGCTAGAGTATATTTATTGCTGATCAATGTATGTATACGATATCCGCCAAGTTTATTAGTTTGTAGATTTAAAAAATCTACAAATTGAAAAAGAATATACATATAAGCAAGTTTATTGCACTATAATAAAATCATGTGAAGTGTTCAAAATTGCATTTCAAATCATAGCAGCTATAGGAGTAGTTGCCAAGCAACATAGGTAGCATCTATGAAAACTATACAGAATGCAACGATGAAACGATACGGGACGGGACGGGACGAGAGAAGAATTGATTTCGCACCTTCAACTTCATTCAATGTTGTCTTCTATTAAATTTTACTTGTCTTCTAGGATTTCTATGCAAATTCAGACAATTTGAAATGTATGAATGAATTGATAGAATGAATGAACGAGATGAGATAATAAAAGAGTGTGTGGTGAGATGAGCGAATGCATTAATAGGTGTATAAATGTGAGCTTAAAATTGTTGATATGCTTAGCAAATCAATTGACGACCTCACTAAATGTGGGAAAAGTCTATGAATGGAATTTCACAAAGTGCGCAGTGCATATTGCGCTGCTGCCTGGAGCAAGACAAAGTGGACTTCGAGCGATTCGACTGAAGATTTCAAACGCTTTCATAAAAACAAATTAAAGACTTATGCAAGCAATTTCAATTTGTGCAACCAATGCCTAATTGATGAATAATGAAATAAAATTTTAATATAAGCTTTTTTAATTAAGTAACTCTAGGTAGTTGTTGTTTTTAATGAAAAAACTCGTTATTCGTTTTTTTTTTTAACGACTACAATCTGTGTGTAATTCTGGTTTTGAGAATAATTCATAAAAGAACAGATGATAAATAAACCTTATGAGAATAGGTATGTGTCAGTATAATGTATACCGTAAGACTGTAACGGTAAAATAACAAATTTATGATTAAGAAAGGATGAAACTGTAAAGACATCATGTTGCAGAATTTGTGAAATTCATTAACCCGTTTTTTATACGCCTAGTAACTAGATTAGTACATTTATCTGATTCTCATTTAAACGTCTGGAATGTCTGGAAAATTCTACTAAAGAAACCTATAAGGTTTATAAAAAACATTGGTTTGTAATCAGGTTGAAAAAGAGAATCAGAATAATATACTATCTCTAGGTACAGTACAAGTGGCCTCACTCAACTCTGTGTAGCCATCAGCACTCGCAATACTCGTAATAAATACAAAGTAATAATTATGGTATGATATTAGTAACTTTGATTTTGGTTTGACATTAAAAACCCTTTATTATTAAATACTCTGCAATAAAAAGTGTTCGTATAAAAACCACAAAGCACTATTCATATAATACAGCTAGACCCGATCAATAAAGTGTTTAATTCCTTGTCCAGTTGAATAAGTTAAACTATTTACGTAGAATTAGTAAGTCTTTTGTCTGGCAGATTTTTGTTTTTTTTATTAAAATTCGTTTTATTCTTGACAAAAATGTTATATTAGCTTAAAGAATCCATGGTCAATGTGGGCAATTGAACGAAAAAAGAATAATAGTTCGATATGTGATGAAAAAATGATATTCTTTTGTTTTTTGTTTGTTCTTCTTTAATTATTTCTTATATTCCTTATGTGAGTATAATGGTACTTCCAATCTTGAAGATACTTGTTAGACTGTGGGGTTTAGCTATTCAATTTTTGTTTCATTGATAGCGTCAGAATGTCGACTTTTTATAGCCTTCTTCACCCTTGTGCATATAATGAGGGCACAAGATGTGACGTCTGGATAATTCTGTGGCTAAAACAAAGAAACGAACAAGCAATGAGGTATGGAATGAGGTATGAGGAAATTTCACCATAATTCTGAACATTACCGTCGGTTTGTTTCACGCACTCGATACGTAATTAGATAGTATTTTAAAGTAGGTTTTGTTTTTTAGGATCTTAACTTTTGTTTTGCCTTCATCAGGAGAATACCTAATATTAAAAACATTATATTAATTTATTAATTCATATTGCACTGCATGATTGAAATTAGTGACAGTGTTTCTTCTGGTAGTGGTTACTGGCTTCTCTGTATATTGATATGCTATATTTCGGTACCTGTTACAACTGTTATTAAAAGTTCTGTCATTATTAAGACCACCGTAAAAAAAAAGAAAATACAAAAATTTAATACATAACGTATTGGAATGTCATTTATTAAATCATTTTAGGATGTAATATGTACTTCTTACAGTTTTTAATAACACATTCTTCAGCACATATAAGTCTTAGTTATAGTTCTTTCCATGTTGAAGGACTTTGCAAGTCACATCTGAATGTTGATATATTTTAGCTTAATGAATCAAATTGAGAATTTATGTTTTATGTTGTGGCACATTCTTGTTTCCAATTATCTTTTTAGCTTAACCTTCTCTAGAGACTATATTACCTACTGTAGACTGTGGTACAACTTCAAACCATTATCTGCGAAATTATGATAAAAATATAAATGTGTATATTGAAACGAATATCAATTCTTAGCAATTATGTTGGAAAAGTGTTCAGCAAACGATTACCAGCAGACAATAACATGCATTCTCAGCCCGCATCGAGACAGACCCCAAGTGTATACCAAACATCTGCAGTATGCAACAACAACTCTTTACATTATTATAATTTTTATCAAATTTTTTTGTGCTTTGTTTTTTCTATTAACTCATAAGCTTGGCATAATGACGATAATTTCATTAATGAATTTTCATGTTTTCTGTAATTGAATTTATTTTAATTAAAACTAAATTGAGGTCTTGTGTTCGTCGGCTTGTTGGTTTGCTCTTCGATTTACTGACGACTAATGTGAGTCTTGGGGCAGTGCTGTTGCGCAGTGCTTTTGCCAACATTGTTGCGGAATATTTAAATTCAGTTAAATTATGTGCATTAGTTTAGCTGCGGTGCTTCGTGGCATAGGTATATGAACGTATGAGCGTGCGCGACGAATGACGAGTGACCGTAAACTGCATTCGAAAGTGTGAAAGGCATTACAAAGCAATTGAGCAGTTGCTACGTGACAGGTTGTAGCACACACACCCCAGCAAATCATTCCTATCCTAACTTCTGAAAGTCCACCATACTTACCACTATAGCCATGTACACCCATAGATTCTCTCTGCTTCTGTATAAGTAATTCATCTTTGTGAAGTTGCGAAGACAGCTAGCCCAAAACACAAAACGCAGATCGAACAGCGAACAGCGAACAGAGAAGAGCGAGGACCGAGGACGAAGACCGAGGAGCGTTTTTGCGAAAGAGCGAAGACGGAGGAGAAAAGGATAATAACATTTTAGTAGCGTGGGCTTTTCATTCGCACTTGCATATATTGGCCGTTGTTGTTGGCATTTAATGTTGCTTCATGCTTAATGTTTCTTAAGTTTGAGGCTCAAATAGTGTGCAACAAATGCCGTTGGTGGCAGCATTGAGGTTGTACAAGTAATTTTATGCGCTTGCGCGAACATTAATTGATTATAATTTTGCCAGGTCCCATCTCCGTGTACCTTTATCTCTGCCTCTGCCTCTGCGTGTGCCTGTGCCTGTGCCTATGCTATCTTCTATCTGCTATCTGGTATCTGGTATCTGATATCAATTTGGCGCATAATTACGTTGTCGATTTATATATTTTCATTGCCTCTTTTGTTGTTTTCTTTTGTCTTTTTATGCATACATAGCATGAATGTTGGAATACATCGTTTAACCCGTTCCGATTTTCTGGTTAACGCACAGTGATATTAAGCTTTTTTTTCATAGCGATTCTTACTCGTCACGATCATTAGCAGGTGTTTTTATACGTTGTTAATAAATATTTTGATCGAGCACTTTTCACACACACATTTTAGTTAATTCCTTTTTTGGTTTTTACTGTCCTTTAGGATGCTGCACATAATTGCATCTTACTCCTTTGGTTGAATATTAAATTGATTATAGGCAATTTGTCATTGTATATACAACAAATTAATCATTATTTTAATAAGGAACTTAACTGAAGTCATTAAATAGTTCCATAAGTGTTATGTTAAATATTTTGTTGATTTTTTATAATTTGCTTCTTTCTGCTTGTAATGCGGTAAATGAATCTTATATGAATATAAAAAGAAACAAGAAATAGAGTAATAGATAAATCGATAGATAGGTAGATAGGTAGCACATATTCAGTCACAAGTTAACTAAACGGAAATTTAATAATATTTAAAGAAGAAGAGGCATAATCAAACACGATGAATGAATATATATTGATCACTGATATACACTGCAACTATTTTTAGGATATTGATTTTATTCTCAGGCATTTAATTTCTTTACACTCTTTTCTTGTATACATAAATACAGATTTCGCAAACTAAGGAATAAACAGGGTACCAGCTCTGCGACCATAGTTCCGCTTTCCGATTGAAAGCCAGAATGTCGGCTGTTGAAAACGTCAAAAGCCTAGAGTAGTTCTACACCCAGTGACCACCTCCTGGCCCAGATTAAGGCTGGGCTGTCACAGAGAATGTGACTGGAAGTCTCGTCCGCTTCTAAACAGAGTCGACAATCTATCTCTTTGGACAGACCCATTTTGTTAAGGCGATAACCCAGTCCATGGTGATCCATTAAGTATCCCACCAGCAACCTAAACTCTGTTCTGCTGAAGAAGAATACCATACCATAACTGTAGGGATAAACCAGCTCGTGTAATCGGGTAAGTTAATAAGAAAAAAAATTGAAAGTATTATAACGATATATCGTACTTGTGTAAAGCAGGGCCATTTTTTTTATTTTTCAGTTCGCAGAAGCAAACCTACGATTAAGCGAAGCAGCATTGAAAGAAAACGTAGTATATAAGGACTTAATTGATATGCTGAACCTAATTACATTAGCATAAATTAAATTAAAATTAAAATTTCATATACTTTGAGTAAGTATGTGTTTCTTTGGAGTAAGTTTCTTTGATGAACCATCAATTCATGGAAACAATTATCTAGACAAACTACAAAAAAAAACTTTTTGCTCCAGCTGTTTATGAGTGTTTTTGTTTATGAAAACGATTAAATTATTGTATTTAGCTTATAAGTAGCTATAAATTTATATATACGAATATAATTTTTTAATTTTATTTCCAAAAGAATATACTACACGATATCACCATATACGCCCACAGAGTTTCGCTCAGCGTATCTCTCGCATTTAAGTTTCGTACCTCAGACACACATTTCTGATCAGATATAAAGATACTGCTAATGATGAAGTGATAATTATGAAAACATAAATGAAAACAAGATTTTCAAAGTTTACTTCCATAATTCTATGCAATTAAAAAAACATAAAATGTTAAGTGACAATAAGATGAGAAATAAAAAGCAACCCAAAGCTCAAACAAAATGAAAATATTTAAATTTTTAGTGTACATTTTGCTTATCTCAATACAAAGTATCAATCGTTAAGATACTTTACGGTGCATAGATAGCAGGTAGCTTTCATGTAGTTTGATAATAAGATGCAATATTGGTCACTTCATTCATTGCGGTGGCTCGTTCATTCATTAAAATAACGTTTGCCATCTTTGCAACCTCTTCACCGTCACCACGGGCGCTTTATGAGCCGCTTCAACCTGTGGTCTGCGCTAAGCGCGCCTAAGTCGCTCAACAACTACAGTTGAGACCAAATCTCTTCTCTTCCTCTTCCTCTTTGTTTTTATTGTTTTTGTTTTTGTTTTTGTTTTTGTTTTTGCTTTTATACGAAACCAATACAAAAAAATAATTGATTTAATTTACATATGAACAAAATAAATAATGTAGTTTGTTAGTTTGTTAGTTTGTTAGTTTGTTTGAGACTCATGAAGACAGGCGCGCTTTCCATTGTGCTGCCCCAGTGTCTTACAGCACTTGTATCTTGTCTCTGGCTGGGTATAACTTGGACGTTGGACGTTGGACGTCGGACGTTGCGTTAATTAAACAATGAACATTTTTAATTATTATTCATAATGGCTTAGTTCATTCTCCTCCCTAATTTAAGCACCAAACACATATTTTAACAATTTTATGTAGGCAGGCATGAAATTGAAATATACTTAATCTAGTATTTACAGAAATTTGTTTATGTATCTCTGCCACCGCGATTGAACTTCTTAATCTAGCTGCAACAATAACTTCTGGGCAACATTTGGTGTCCATGTTTAGCTGTTAATTTAGTTTCTATCTGAGCTATAAATCGCGTTTAGCCTCACAGTTAAAATTAGAAACTTGACGTTTTTGGCATTGATTTAAGGCATTCCGCGCAACTTAGGTAAAAAAAAAATATTTTGAATTTTTTTCTTAATATTCAAGAAATAACATAAAATTTTAAAAACATTTTTAGTCGTTTAGAAATCGATTTTACACCGCATAGTGAAATAAGGAACCACAGTTTTCATATTAGAAATATCGTGGTATTATGAACGTGAGAAACTTGCATATAGCTTGGAGACGAAAGTGTTGACCTAATAAATAATATTGCAAATAAGACTCTGTGCTGACAGGGACTAAGGACGGGCGGTTAGGTTGATAATTATTGTGCGGTATTGGTTTAGGTCTTATTTAATAGAAATGAAACGATCAATTTTTTTTCATGATTTATGTCTGCTATGTGCTGCTGTAGCAAGAAGTTCACCCCAATGATGGCGAGCATACCGGCCTTGCAACCGTGTGAATATAACAACTCTTAGAATATAACAGTAAATAAATTAAACTTATTATATATCCAAAGACAGTAAACTATCTATTTATATTGCATGTAATTATGTCCCTAAATTTGAACGAAAAGTAGCAAAAGTGAAGAAGACATATAAATATACGATATATAATAAAACCTTGTATACAAATCTTTTTTAAAATATATTGTCCAGGAAACTGGACCATAGGATGACATGGAGCTAGACTTCACTTAGCCTGTGGTATCTCCTGCAATGCGTGTCTACCAGCTCTCGAAGAAAGGACACCACAACACCTGATGTGTCTACGTCCAGGTTTGGTCAGAACTAGGCTCAAGTTTCTGGAGGTTCCCTTTTTTAAAACACTCGGCAATATCTCTATCAATTGCATTGGTCAGATTCTTGCCTTTATAAGTGCCTCTGGCTAGTTCTAGCTTGATCTTCTCTATACTATCCACTAATACGAGGTTTTTTGAATTCAAAATGGCTAACTGAGGAGGACTCGTTCCTCCATCTACCATAATTAACTACTAACTAACTAGGTATATTGTGATTTTAATGCCAAAAATAAATACATATGACTATATTAATAAATAAATAAATAATTCAAAAACAGCATTTTCTTCTAAGTGAACACATCGTTTAATTGCATGTTCAAAATAATGTCGACTGGTTTCATGTATGACAGCAAGTGACGACAAAAATATTTGACAAAAACATTTTACAAAAATTTTTGACAGATCCGTTACAAATTTTAATAATAAAAAAAAATTATTAATATAGCATACGCTTAATACTATAACTCACCTTGTAAAAACATCTGGATAATGAGTACGTGAGAAGGCTTTCTCTAACTCCTCTAGTTGGAAACTTGTAAATGTAGTGCGATAACGACGCTGTTTACGCTTGGGCGCATATTCATCTAAGTCACCTTCACTGTTAACATCGGAAATAGGACTATTAGTACCACCACTTGTTCCAGTAGTTACAATGCAGGAGGCCGAACGATCAGGAATTGCATCCTGATGTGCTAATTTGGCTTCTTGCGGTAATTCTTCCAGTTTGACTTCCTCGGATATGCCCATAATCTATATGGGCCAATATGGGTAATTAAATTTGACTTTTAAATAAAGTATTAATCGAAGTATTAGTTTTGCTGGATGGTTTTTAAAAACTAAAATAAAAGAAAAATGAAAACAGAACTTTTAATGTTTAATGTTTTTAAATATTATTATTATTATTATTATTATTATTATTATTATTATTATTAATTAGCAATTCTAGCAGTAAGAATGCAAAAATCAATAGAATTTTTACAAATTTCTGATTTGAATTAAAAATTAAGTCAAAATGCGAATATGTATTAGATGCCCAGTCCGATTTACAAAATTTTTCTCGATACACACTCTATACGAATATATTAATAGTCTCTTTGCTAGAAGTGTGAGATGGAAATTGAATAGCAAACTGTGAGAAATCGACTGTAAGAAAAAATGTAAGAGAGCGGTAAGTGATAGACCTTTCAGAAGTATTGTGCCAAAATTTTGCTCATAAACGTGGATCGTTGTATTTTCACAATAGAACTAAGCTAAGAATGTTGACAGATCATCTGACGGGAACAATGGTCTGCGTTGAAATATGGGTCAGTCTAAGAAAACAGAATGTTGGCGATTGCTAAGTCTATAGTTCTAAACTGTATCTGATATTATGAATTTATCAAAATTAGTCATTTTAGCCTGCATTTATCTATTTAAGTGCTTTTTGCTTAATACGGATCCATAATCTATAATTTTTCTTCATATTTTTTATTTTAGTTTATATTGTGCATGCAAAGGTGCGTGTTCCCCGTATATTAAAGAAACAATAATATTAAAAATAGCTCAAAAGTAGAATTAATAAGAAAACCTATTAAAATGATATGGCTACATAGTGAAAAAATTATGAAATTTTAATACAAAGACGTCCGCTTCAACATATAGATATCGTAAGGAAGGATGAAGATTTTCGATTTTTTACAATGATATCATAAAAATCCATTTTTATGTTTGAAATGTGGAAAGCTTTCCATTGTAATTTGCATGGTAGATAGTTAAAGATGCCATTTCAAAAACATTTTATACATATTACAAAATTTGTCGTTGCAATTTTAATTTAATTTTAATTTAGTTTTGTCTTAATTAATTTAATTAAAGATCTGCTTAGTATAAGGCTACTTATTTCAATAAAAGGATAAAGTTCTTCTTGTTCCTTTTGAGAAAGGAGATGCTTATTAATTTTCCTTTTGAGTTTTAAACTATTATAGTCTATTAGGGCTTTTAATTTAATAATAAAATAATTTCATATGATCGGTGATCGCTGATAGGTGCTCGCTGATCGGTGAATAAAAAGCACTTCTAAGAAATACTTTTTACTCCAATGACTCAAACCATATAGAGCTGAGTGGTATGTGGTGCGTGATGCATGTATGGCTAAAACTTATAGCAGATTTATACTATAGGCCTTTTGCCATTAGCCATGAAACAACTTAATTACACAGCAAATGCAAGCCAGAAGGTATCAAACAATTTGTCCCTATGTATCACAGTAGTGCCCGGCATTTCACAAGTTTAGTCACGCTTCATACGCACGCAGCCAAGCACAGGCATTAGCAACCAAAAGAGCACGCATGTGCGGTGGCACTTAAGCATAGAGCAATGGAAAATAACATAGATATCCTGGCTGTCCGCTGTCCGCTGTCCACTGCCCGCTGCCTGCTGCCTGTATTGGTTGCCAAATAAGGACCTTTTACCTTATCCGTTGCAGATGGAATTTTGTTTAAATTAAAGATGCGGGACATATGAAAAATACCAAGAATAATCAAGAGATTCCTGCAGAACCATAATGGATGTGAGCCACCAAAAAGGAAAAGCACAGGAAAAACCAATTGGTTGGAGAGAAAAAAATTCTGTTAACTTTTTTGCATATATTAATTAAAAGCACCTAAGCGTTGTCTCTGAATATGCGGAACAACTCACTACTGAATATTGTTTGCGAATGCTATTATTCCATGTTGTTTGTTGTTTGTTGTTTGTTGCTGGCTATTGGTTGCTGGTTGCTGTGCAACATTGTTCACTATTACCATTTCCAATCGGCAATGCAGGCAATGCAGGCAATGTTCAAGTGCGCAATGCTCTGGTGGTGGTAATTAACTTGTTGTTTCGATAATTGCTCCTATTTGCACTCAAACGCAAGTTTGACAGCAACCGTGGCAGTAGCCACATTTTTTGTTTTTAAATTATTGCGACATTATTTTTGCATTGCGTGCGCAATAAATCAATTTAAGGTGAATTTCAAATACAGAAAAAGTTTCTCCAATTTAAATTCCGTTGGCAGTGTTCCAGTGTTCCAGTACAACAAATGCACACACTTGCGTGCAAGCCGCGGACAATGATAACTAATTCACTTACTCGCTCAAAACGCTGTCGATGCTCACTCGTCTGTTATTAATTACATTTAATTCATGTGTTTTTTTCGTCGCATATTTTAACAAAAATCGAAGTTGTTTACGCATAAATTTAACAAATTTATACAACAGCAAACTTATTTAAGCCAAAAATTAACAAAACCTGCAATGCACAAACGGACAGACAAACAACCAGTTAGTTCATTTGCAAGCAGCAGAACAAAGCTTAGTCAGATATGTAAGCTATAAATCGCAATAAGCTGTTGCTGCTGACAGACAGACATACATGACATACATGTTGACAGTAGTAGTATGGACGGACGAACAGATGCTTGAGAGAACTGCGCACAGTACAAGTGTCGTTCTGGTTCCTGGCATCAATTGACCGTTGCATCGACAAAGCGCAAACTTAATTTCCGACTTTGGTAGACAAAGCAGACAAAGCAGACAAAGGACCCAAATCCGGGCAATCCACAAAAAAACAACCTAGAAATATTTATTCAAATTGAAATTCATTTAAAGTTTGAAATTGTTTTCTGGTGTTTGTTCAAACAACTCAATCAACAGCAATTCGACGTTTTTGAGGTTGTTTTAGGATCACGGTGCATTTGTACTTCATTACTTCAATGAAAATTTAGTTATTATGCATGCAGAAGTCACGCTCGAGTATTCACTACTTAAGACACCACTTCAAGCTGAGGTTCGAGTAAAAAACATTCAGTATGCATTCAATATGTTATATGTATTTAAGGGCTATTAGAATGCCCTCGAAGAACAACTTTTCAAAACATTTCGAATTATGTTCCACGAAGGTGAAATTGATTAAAAGTTTAAATAAGTAATTATACCACCAAAAACTAGCGGAACACCATAGATAGCGACATTACCATAATCTAGCCCACAAAGCGAGTGAAGGATTTTCCATAAATCAAATCCAGAATGAAACAAAAGGAAAGGAATCATACTCATTGGTATGGCTTACTGTTTCTCTTAGTGGTGATGAAAAAGTAAGCAGTTGAAGATAACTGTTCACAGAGAGTCACTACTTGGTCATTACTTGGAAAGTGTGACACATACCGTTAATACTCAACGCTATAACCACGTGATTACTAAGTTTCATAAGATGTAAAATTGAAGACATGAAAAATATTTGGCCTTAACAGCGCAGGGCCAAATTACACAATACGTCCTGCTTCTGTTTTGTTAGGAGAAAAATTTGCTGATCGTGAATTCTATTTTTTGGTACTATGAATTGGTCACCAACAACATGCAATTTATCAACAAAGTATTGTTTAATTGTTTTTACGAAAAGTATTGTGTTTATGTGAACAATCTTCAAACTATCTATACCTTAAAACGAACATTTATCAGGTCAGGCCCAAACTATTGCCAACAAAATATCGACAAACCATCGAAAATTGCATTTATGAGCTTGAGATACTTAATCACATCGATTTGATTTTTGGCAATGTTGATGCCCAGTTCCGCGATGTTTGTCTAGAACTTAATTTTCTTAAATGATTTCCAATAGACACAATTGTCTCTTATATCAAGATCCTTCGATCTTCACAAATTGTTTTTGACATAACCATATCTATGATAACGTTAAATTAGAACGGGATAAGATTATAGTCCGATACGCCTGCATGTTCGACGATATAAGCGATGGGGTTTTGAAAAATTTTGGTGATTACTCTGTTTTCCATATTCTGTAGGGTTACGGCTGTCCTGCTCTTGCAATCCAAAATACAACTATTTTTTGTTAGATTAGCATGACACCATGACACCTGACAATGACCAGATTTACTTAATGAGTGACATGAGAATAAATACCGCCAAGTGTTTATCTGCTGCAAGCAGTTTAGGAGCAATGTTATCCGGACCGGAGCGTTATCACTTTATAAATTTTACACATGGCTGATAAATTAGTATTAACGTCATTTATAGAAGTGTATTGGTACTTTTCTGCTCTAGAGCTGCACTTTATTTTGTGGCGACTATTCAGTCAGTATCAGAAGGTTTTTAAGAGTTTTCACATATATTCTAATATTTAATGGTTCTATCACCGACGATAAATCCGATATAACATTTTTATCGTGTTTGCTGCATCCAAGAGTAATTCTAATATCATGAGATTATCATTTGATATGTTTTCTGACTGTCGTTAAATTGCACTTGAAAAAAGTCAGCTAAATACATCTGCATCAGTTTTAGTACATCCTTTAAATTCTGAATTTCTATAATGAATTTAAAAAAAATTTAATTTTAATTAAAAAATGAATTATTTTTAGTTTTAACTTAAAACGCCGCATACTTTTTGCTCAACATGGCCGAATGGAATTCATTTTGCAATTTATGCGATTTCTGACAGTAACTCTTTCTGTGTATTAAAAATGAAATAAAATGATTATTTGCTATATACTTGCTAAGACAACTCCGTCTAACCCCAAACGGTCATGACATATCCAAGTTGGCAACTAAACGCAACTCAACAACACAAATGTGCAACAAAAGCAACATTGCTATGCTGCAGCAATTCCGGTGCCAGTAGTTGTACTTGGCCATTGGTGTTATTGTTGCTATTGTGGGTGTTAATATTTGGTGGGTGGTGTTATACGTGGTTGTTGCCAATAGAAACAATCAATATTCAATGAAAAGTATTTGATTAAATTATTCATGAATTTAATAAAAACTGACTTATTTCGTTATTATTAAAACAGAAGACGT